AGGAGAGGAGAGGAGAGGAGAGGAGAGGAGAGGAGAAGAGAAGAAAGCCTCATGGTTATTTACAGTTACTGTTACCTCTCATGGATTTTGCAATCAACAAATCCTCACCACTATTGGCAGATTTCATAAATATATTATTGAGCAAAAGAAGCTATGTCACACATCGTGGTTCATACCTGTGATCTCAGTACCCAGGAGTCTGAGGAAGGAGGGAGGAAAGAGAATTCAAGGCCAGCTTGAGCTCCTGCGGTACGCTGGGCCACTTAGCAAGACTGTTTAAAAGAGGAAACAAAACAAAAAGGGCTAGAGCAGTGCTTCAGTAGGTAGCAGTGATCACTTGCTAAGCATGAGGACTCGGGTCTGAATCTCTAGTACCCACAGAAACAAATAAATAACTAAAAGTCAGAGCTGGGGTAGTGGCACAGGCCTTTAATTCCAGCACTCAGAAGGCAATATAGCAGGTGGATCACTGTGAATTTGAGACCGTCCTGGTCTACAAAGTGAGTCCAGGACAGCCAGGGCTATGCACAGAGAAACTCCGTCTCAACACCCCCCCCCCCCAAAAAAAAAAAAAAAAAAACCAGTCACAGCTGTGTATACCTATAATCCTGGTGCTGTAGGACAGAGACAGGCAGACTGTGAGAGCTTGCTGGTCAGCCAGCCTAGCCAAAGAGGTGAGCTTCTGGCCTAGCGAAGCTAAAAGGCAAAGAACAGAGAAAGAAACCCTGTGTCCTTCTGTGGCTTCTTCATGTGTGCGCATGGATAGGCACATGTCCTGCACATTTGTGTAAGTAATACACAGGCAACAGGCCACGAAAATAAACAAACACAAACATACGTGAATGTATACATGCCAAGATGCAAAAACACACATATCAAGTGACCGGAAATAAAACTGATCTCTGGGGTTAGCAATAAGATACTAGTTTTCAAAGCCAGTGGTTCATGCCTTTAGGCCAGCCTGGTCTACAGAGTGAGTCCAGGACAGCCAAGGCTACACAGAGAAACCCTGTCTTGAAAAACCAAAAACCGAAACAAACAACAACAACAAAACAAACCCGAAACAACAGCAACAAGTAGTTGCTTAGACAAGGACTTCTGAGCCATGGATGTTCTGTGTCTTTACTAGGATGCTGGGCACATAGAAGTACGCCATTTATAAAATTCATTTCTCTATACATCTTTTATTCATGGATTTTTCCTGTACTATTCTTCAGTTTATTACTGAGGGCATACAAGTGGCTAACAAGCACATAAAAAATACGCTCAGCAACCTCAGTCATTAGAGAAATGCAAATGAAAGCCACAACGTGATAATACTTTACACCCATGAGGATAGCCGTAATAGAAACAAAAATGGAGAATAACAAGACTTGCTAAATCTGACGAGGAGCCAGAATCTTTGCAGCTCCATTGTGGCAATCTGAAAGTGTAGCTTCTGTGGAAAACAATTTAGTCGTTTCCACCAGCACCACCACTGCCCACAGTTGTTCACAGCAGGGCTGGAGACGTGGCTCCATAGTTAAGATCACTCTGCTGCTCAGAGAGATGACTCAGTGCCTACATGGAGGCTCACAGCCGTCAAACGCTGCTTCTGGGATACCCAAATCCCCATCTGGCCCCGTGGGCAACACCGTCGCGCACACACACGCACACACGCACACATAAAGAAGAAGGTAAATCTGGGGGCTGGCAGAGCAGCTCAGGGGGTAGAGGTACTTACCATCAAGCCTGATGCCCTGAGATCAATTCTTGGGACCTACATGTTGAACGAGAGTTCCAGATTCTGTAAGTTGTCCTCTGACCGTAGCACACATGCCCTTCAGAATAGACAATTTTTGAGGAGGGTAAATTTCATGTTGTGTGGATTTTACCCTAATAAAAGGTTTTCTAGCCTACAAATAGGGGATCGCTAAAATATATATATGTGAGAGGATGGACTCGGAAGATGCAAAGGAGAGCTGTAGGGAGACCTGGTTTAGGAAGATGGTAGACAGATTCCAGATAAGTTGTTGAGCCAAGAGGGCTTTCTGGACACAGGATAGCAATGGAAGGAAAGAATTAATGAGGATTGCTAAGTTTTTCACTTAATTTTTAAAAAGTGTCCTGGGGTCAGAACATTTAACTTTTAGATTTATTTATTTTATTATTTTACGGATATGAGTGTTTTGCCTGCATGCGTGTCTCTGCCCCACAGGTGTGTCTGGTGCTGGAGGAGGCCAGAGGAGGGTGTTGGATCCCTTAGTACTGGAGTTACACACGGTTGTGAGCTACCACATCGGTGCTGGGAATTGAGCTCACGTCCTCTGGACGAGTACCCAGTCTCTTAACTACTAAGCCATCTCTCCAGCCCCACACTGTCCCTTTAAACCGGTGGTTCTCAACCTTCTCGGTGCTTGCACCGTTCAGACAGTTGCTCATGTTGTGCTGATCCCTCGAAGGTAAAATTATCCTGTTGCTACTTCATAACTGTAATTTTGCTGCCGTTAGGAATTGTAACATAAATGCCTAATGTGCAGGATATCTGATATGTGACCCATTTGACCCCCAAAAGGGTCTAGACCCACAGGTCAGGAACCACTGCTCTAAAGGACTGGTGGGAAGTGTTCTGCCGTGACGCACGGTGGGCACACCGAGTCTGAGAACTTCTCCAAGGACTGGACTGCAACCGGCCTTGGTATTTCCGAGCAAATAAGTGGGTCAAATTCCCCCCACACACACTTTAAAAACTATGTTTTATTTACTTGTGGGGGGCATGTGTGCTGTAGCCCAGCTCCTGAGAGTTGGTTCTCCTCTGCTGCATGGCTCTCAGGGATTGCGCTCAGGTCCTCAGGCTCGGGGCCAGCACCTTTAGTCACTGAGCTGTCTTAGCAGTCTACCTTAAGCGTTTCATAGCAAAGACTCGGAGTTGTTGCTGGCTTTAATCCGGTACTCCCATACACACTGCCAACCCTCTGGTTATGGGGAGAGCCCCGCCTATGGCATGGCTCTGCCCACGGTCAACTTTTCCCGTTTCTGGAAGGATCATTAAGGTAGCTTCCAGGTAGCTGCCTCCTCTGCCCTCCTGGAGGCTGAGCAACCTCTTTCGTCACATCCTCATCTCTCCTCGGGCCTTGTCTGTATATTGGGACAACTGCAGTCCTGCTGGCTGTTTTATCTCCATGCCTCTTAAATACACACACACACACACACACACACACACACACACACACACACATCCAGGAACAGCTCTTTAATGGGTGCCTACAGCATGATGCAGACATATCTTGGTTTTTTTATGCATATGAGTGTTTTGGGTGCCTTGAAGAGGGTGACAGATCCTCTGAAACTGGAGTTATGGACAGCCGTGAGCCACCATATATAGGTTCTGCGAGTCGAACCTGGGTCCTCTGGAAGAGCAGCCAGTGCTTTTAGCTGCTGATCTCTTCAGCCCCCCCCCACACTTATTCTTAAGTGGCTTATGTGACAGACACCCTAGAGTTTTCTTGTGGTTTTTATCTGGACTCTCCCCTACCCGGCCTCGTGACTTGGTGTTCCCAGGCAGCTTTTGTGGCCTCACTTGATTTCTATCTTTGCAGGAGACTTCCTTCCCACAGAGAACAGGCTTATGAACAGCTGTATCCAAGCCAGAAAGAAATGTCAGGCTAATCCCGCTTGCAAGGCTGCCTACCACCACCTGGATTCCTGCACCTCGGGTGGAAGCACCCCATTGCCCTTCGAGGAGTCTGCCCTGTCTCCGGACTGCCTCGAGGCAGCACAACAACTCAGGAACAGCTCCCTGATGGGCTGCACGTGCCACCGGCGTATGAAGCACCAAGCTACCTGTCTGAACATTTATTGGACCGTTCACCCTGCCCGAAGCCTTGGTAAGGCCGCTCTCCTAGAGGGGACTACGTCACAAGGGTGGATTTTGGGAAGTCATTTCTCAGTGGTGTAGGACAGTCATATGGTTAATTTTGGTGGGGACGAATGGAGTTTTGCATGTGGCATCAGTAAGAGATGGAGGGGAAATTTGGCGTTATCTTCTTGGGTCCTTCAAACTTTGCCCTTTCCTCTACCTACTTCTACCTTTCTTTTAAGAATATTTTCAGCTGAGCACGGTGGCGCACACCTTTGATCTCAGCAGCTGGGAGACAGAGGCAGGTGAGTCTCTTGAAGCCAGACTGGTCCATAGAGCTTGCTCTAGAACAGTCAGGGCTATACAGGGAAACCCTGTCTCAAAAATTATTTATTTATTCATATGTGCAGATGTGTTCCTATGCATGCCAGGGTGTGTGTGTGGAGGTCAGAGGACATTTTTGTGGAGTTGGTTCTCTTTTTCCAGAGTGTAGATTCTGAGACGCAAACTCATTCTCCCAGGCTTGGTGGCAAGTGCCTTCACCTGCTGAACCATCTTGCTGGCCCCTTATGTCCACTTTCTTACCTGTATTTTCCTCTTCACAAGCTCTAAACCACAGAGAACCCCAGCCTGAGGAGCTCCTAGGGCAGGAAAGTGAGGAAAGCATCTCAGCTCATAAACAGGCTCAGAACTTCCTGGAACCTACTGATTCAGAGATAGGAGAAGGCAGCACATTGTTACAGTCTTTAACAGGAAGGCTGTCCCTAACCAGACAGGAGACAGTGAAAGAGCAGGCACAGAGGGAGCCAAACAGAAGATTCACAGCTGTCTCTTTCCATAGGCCCCTGTCTCTTGTCAATTTTTCAATTACTTTATTAACTAATTTTTAATTAATTAATTAATTAAATCAACTAAATTTTAATTGATTAATTATTTGCATTTTGGTCTTGAAGACCAGGTTTCTCTGGGTAGTTCTTGCTATACTGGAACTCACTCTGTAGACCAGGCTGGCCTCAAACTCAGACTTGCCTGCCTCTGCCTCCTGAGTGCTGGGATCAAAGTCGTGAACCACAACCACCGAGTTTACTAGTCAGCTTTTAATGGACTGTGTTGTAGTAGCAAAATTTCCATAGTTGAGCACAGATGTTTGTAATCCCAGCACTCAAGAGACCGAGGTGGGAGGATCCCCACATATTTTAGGATAGTGAAGGATAACCTGTCTCATATAACCACAAGAAACAAAAAGGATCAAAAACAGCTAGGGAGGTAGCTCAGTCAGCCTCGAGCTAAGGTGATTTCAGAGCCCACATGAAAAACAAAACAAGAGAGCGGGAGACATTCATAATTTTAGGGCTGGGAAAACAGATAGGCAGATCCCTGGGGGATGTTGGCTAGCTGAGCCTGCTTGATGAGTCCCAGGCTGGGGTGAGGCCTTGTCTCAAAAAAAGAAAGGGTGGGGATGGGGAGGGAAGCTGGAGAGCTGGCTCAGCAGTCAAGAGCACTGCGGCTCTTCCGGAGGACCCACGTTTAAATCCCAGCACCCAACAGCACCCAGCAGCACCCAACGCCCAGCATCCAGGAGTCAGCTTGTGACTGTCTGGAACTCCAGTCCCAGGGGAGCCGATACCCTCTCTGGCACTTGGAGACCATTATGTTTTTGCCCAAGGGGTTAAGCTGAGACTGGCCTCTGCCCTGTGTTCCTCCTGCCTTCAACCTTTGAGTGCAGAGAACACGGGCATATGTCCTGGCTCATGGAATTCTCTCTGCTGGGTCTGGAGCCGACTCCTCTGGATCTAGAAACCTGTAAGTTGAAGAGACCAGTGATCTGCCTTCCATACATACTCAGTGTGCGGTGAGGAGACAGACTGAGACACAAGTAAAGCTTCTAGAAAGTGCACGGATGGAGGCATTTGGCACACGCCGACTCATGGCACATGTTGAAAGGCCTCATGCCCAGGAGGAGGAAGGATGCCTTTGCTTTAGGGGAGGAGTTGCCCTGTCCATTGTTCTCTAGGGCTCTTGGCCAGCCCTCTGCCAGGTTCTTGCTATTCTATTATTCTCTTTGGCCATGGTTAAAATGGGCGTGAGAGACTGCAGCCTCCTTGGGGACTAAGCAATATTCTCAGACTGTTTCCTGCCTGGAGGATGCGGGGGGAGTTTAAGTCTCATAGTCTCTTTTAATACAGATTGGTAGCTCTTGGCTGTGCAACACATAATGGCTTTTTATATCTTTAATTTCTGCCATCTTGTGCACCCAGTAGCCTTTTCCATAATTTAAGACATGCACTTCCTTCTAAATCTAATTAAAAGTTTGTTGCCAGAGTTGAGTGGTGGTGGCACAGGCCTTTAATCCCAGCACTCAGGAGGCAGAGGCAGTTACATATCTGTGAGTTCAAGGCCAACCTGGTCTACAGAGTGAGTTCCAGGCCAGCCAGAGATATACAGAGAAACCCTGTCTCAAAACAAAACAAAAGTCCCTTTCCTTTGTCAGGCCTCCATGGGAGAATCACTGCTTTAATCTTTTTATTTCTTTTCTCCTAAGTATATTTGTCCAACTGTGTGTGTGTGTTGTGTGTTTGGAGGCCAGCAGTTGTGTGTGTGTGTGTGTGTGTGTGTGTGTATGTATGAGTATGAGTTGGCATGTGTGTTGTGAGAGAGAGAGTGTGTGTGTGAGTGTGTGTATATGTGTGTGTATGTATTTGGAGGCCAGCTCTGGGTATTTGCCTGTCTTTGCACCTTAGCACTGTTAAGGCCTCCGTGCCCAACTTTGAATGTGGTGCTGGTAATCCAAGCTCAGATCTCATACTTGCACAGCAAGCACTTTAACTGACCACTGCTCAGTTATTGTTTTTGTTGTTGTTGTTATTGGAGATGAGAGCACACTATGCTGCCCAGGTTGGTCTAGAACTCCTGGCCTTAAGCAAGCATCCTGCGTTTGCCTCAGAAGTGGCTAGTTCCCTCACTTTAGGCCGAACTGGACAGCTCTTTTCTGAGCTTCTATTTTTCTTTCAGCACCTTGCCAGTCATAGCCAATAACTTGGATTACCAGCACCACATTCAAAGTTCGGCACGGAGGCCTTAATAGTGTTGGGGTGCAGGGACAGGTAGATATCCAGAGCTGGACTCCAAATACACACACACACACACACACACACACACACACACACACACACACTCACTCACACACACACACACTCTTACACACATGCATACTCAATACATAGCAATAGACTCCTTCATCTCAGGTTCTTCCCCTGGAAGTACAAGCTCAGTCATCATCTTCCTCATATGTCATCTTCCCAGTTGTTGCAGGTAACAATTTTACCAAGAACTTCGTCAATGGGGTCTGCCAATCCTCTAGGCCTACCTAAGAGCCTCCTTTCCTACCACTGTCCAGTCACAGAGCAAAGCCACACATCCGGAAAATGTTGTTACTATAGGAATCTATTTCTAGATACTAACTGCATTTTTCTTTTTCTCCTCCTAGTTGATTTTTTTCCTTTTCTGGTGCTCAGGATCTAACCCAGGGCCTCACCCTTGTTATCAATCACTCCACCACTGAGCCACACTGCCAGCCCTCCCCAGGGCATCATAAACAGGAGTTTTCCAAGTTAAGCTTCAATTCCAACAAGCCCTCCTCCAGACCACTGGCTTTTTAAAAGGAAAATGTATTTCTTGCTTGTATTGCATCCGATACCAGCTCCCAACAGCTAACTTTGTTCTACCTTTGGTCTCCATGGAGGACCCACGCTGGCAGAGAGAAAGGAGGAGCAGCAGAACCATGCAACGGTTCTTAAAACCTCTGCTCCAGTGTGGTTGACATCATTTTTGTCTATACTTCATAGGCCAAAGCAAGCCTGACACCACTGGGCTGAGCATGTGTCTTCCTTGCGCAGGTGCTTCCCACGGCAACAGGTGGGAAGCGTCATGCTCCCACAGGCTCGGGTGATAGGCAGTAACCGGAAGTGATGACATCATCTATGGCATTCCTTGTTCCTGCCTTCCACTCCTCTGCCCAATTGTTTCTCTTTTCCATCTTCCCCAGAGACATTTTCTGGGCTTCTCCCACTTCATGCTTCCCCTTTAGGAGCTCCCAGGTCTTCCTGTTTGTGTGATATCACCCATGCTCCTCCAGTCCTCAAGATGCATTTACCAAGGCCTGGTAGGTGGCACCCAGCAAGCTCACCTTTTTCTTCCAATATGATTGATTCATGGATTGACTGATTTAGAGACTGGGTCTCATGTACCCAGCCTGCTTCTAATTTGCGGTGTAGCTAAGGATGATCATGAACTCTTGATGTGCCTGCCTCCCCTTTCTGAATGCTGGTATTGCCTAGTTTATTCTCAGTGCTGCGGGTTGAACTGAGGGCTTTGTACGTGGCAGGCAAGCACCCTAACAACTGAACTGCATCCACAGACCCCAGCGAAACTTATCAATTAGCTTTTATTGAACACCCACTGTGCTTACAACCTAATTAACCCCCCTCCCAGTAACCCGTAGTCCATGGGATGACGGGGAGAAATGTGTTGGTTGTGAGGTCACTGTGTCTTTTCTTCCTCTGGCTTTTCTCATTTTGGTCCAACTCAGTACCTGGCCTCACTTCCATTTTTGTGCTGTGTCATGTGTCTCCACGTGAATGGTTAAGCCTAGAACAACATCCATTCCTGTCCCTTCCCTAATGGCAAGAGAAAGAAAGCATCTCCTTGCTTGATTGTGTGCCCACAGGCAATGTCTATACTTAGGAGCAGATATTCTGGAATCGGTGTGTATTTTATAGCCAACCCTCTCCCCTCTTTTGAGACAAAGTCTTGCTCTATAATTCTTGCTGGCATGGAACTTGCTATATAGACCAGGCTGGCCTCCATATCGGAGAGACCTTCCTTCCTTGTCCCAGAGTACTGACGTGAAAGGTATGCACCACCATGCCTAGCCCGGTTCCCCTTCTTAAGCGAATGTGAATCCAAGCAGGTCACTTAGCCTCTCATTCTTGGCTTCTTCTCACCTTCTCAAGGACTTGTAGGAGGGATGGAATGAACTGTGAGTGTGCTTGTGCCCTTGTGTGTGCTTGGGATCCAGTGTGCTTGACAAATGGTAGCTCTTAATTCTTCTCTTATGTTTATTCATTGGGCCTAAGCTGTACCTTTCCAACTGATGTATTCCGGTCTCTGTATGGCTTGCAGCTTTCTCTGTAAGGAGAGGCTGTGTCTTTTCTTCTGCTCCTTGCAGGCTGCTCCTTGCTGGCCTTGCAGGCTGACCCGGCAGCTTCAGGCCTCCCTGCTCCACTTCCCAAGCCTTTGTCCTTAGCATTCACACACCTCCCTGTTCTCTCCAGGTGACTACGAGTTGGATGTCTCCCCCTATGAAGACACAGTGACCAGCAAACCCTGGAAAATGAATCTCAGCAAGCTGAACATGCTTAAACCAGGTGTGGGGAAAGAGAGGTTGGGCCTGGGCTCTTTGGAGAGGAGAGAGGAGGGGAGGGGAGAGGAAGGGAAGGAGGGGAGCACAGACTGGGGTGGGTGGGACTTCAGGGGAGGAGTTTCTAGCCTGCTGTATCAGGATGGAAGTCTGAGCTGCGATGCATAGTCTATGTTCACAGGAATCATCAAAAAGCAGCAGTTACTAGGGAAACCTCTAGAGCCCATTAGGGCCCCAGGTCCTCAGGAAGGGCGTGTAGGAGTGGCAGTGGCGGCAGCAAGCACGCTGAAATGGAGTATATTTACCCACATTTAAGGTGGCAGGAAAGTAGGTTTTTTTCAAAAGTCCCCAAGGACTATGAAATTGCTTGTTATCAACCATTCTAATGGGGTGGGTGAGGTACTGGGCAGAAAAAAGGAGTCTCCTTCCTCACAGGGGTCACTCCGGGTGGAAGCCACCGTCCAGGAGAGGCTCTGATGCACATTTTTTTTCTCCAGGACAACGAGGCTGTAAACTAACTGAGAAAGAGTACACAAATACACAGCTGGGTATGGCCGTGTGTGCCTTAATGCAAGCTGTTGAGAAGTAGCAGCAAGATGATCAGAGTTCAAGGGCATCCTCAGCTACAGAAGGAGTTCCGGGCCACCCTGAGCTAACCATCTAAAAAACAAACAAACAAAACCCCAAAGAATACATAAGGCACTGCATTTTAAGATATAAGTAAGATTTATTGTATAGTTGTCCCTGTGTTTTTAAATTCAGGATGTCCCGGATTTTGACCTTGAAGAATTGCTCTTTAGTGTTCTTCCTCCAAATACTGAAATTATATGAGTATATCATATGCCTGGAAGAATTGAAATACACACACACACACACACACACACACACACACACACACACACACATCTTTCTTTTTCTTTCTTTCTTTTTCTTTCTCTCTCTCCCTTCCTTCCTTCTTCCTTCTTTCCCTTCCTTCCTTCCTTCCTTCCTTCTTCCTTCTTTCCCTCCCTTCCTCCCTTCCTTCCTTCCTTCCTTCCTTCCTTCCATCCATCCATCCTTTGGCAAGTTCTCACTATGTGGCCCTGTCTGGGCTACATACATATATACATACATACATACATACATACATACATACATACATACACATACATACAACACATACACACAATTTTTAAAAAAGAAAATGTCCTTCTCAAACACAAAGCCCTGAACAGAACAGAAAGGCCCCAGCCAAACCTAACTAAAATTTGGTTGCCTGTGTTTTAGCCGTTGGAAAGCTCTCTGATTTGTGATTCCCACCAGCTCTCACTGCCTAGGAGCGGGGAACCGTTTTGTTTATTTGAGTTGCCTGCTGCTTTCGTGACAAATAAATGAGTGGGTGTTAGATGTATGTGGATGGTGGATGATGACGATGATGACGACCACAGCAGCGGCGGTGGTGATGACTATGACGATCATTTCACCAGACAAGATAAGGACAGGGAGCCAGACAGGGTTTGTACGAGAAGAGTTAGCAGTGGCTTAATTCAGAACAGTCCTTCCTTTCTGCCACCTCATCTACTTGTCACAGGAGGGGTTTACTGAATTTCCTAGCGAGACTCCGCCTGGTGACCTGGTGCTACTCTCCCCACAGACTCGGACCTCTGCCTCAAATTTGCCATGTTGTGTACTCTTAACGACAAGTGTGACCGCCTGCGCAAGGCCTACGGGGAGGCCTGCTCAGGGCTCCGCTGCCAGCGCCACCTCTGCCTAGCCCAGCTGCGCTCCTTCTTTGAGAAGGCGGCCGAGTCCCACGCTCAGGGCCTGCTGCTGTGTCCCTGCGCGCCGGAAGATGCGGGCTGCGGGGAACGCCGGCGCAACACCATCGCCCCCAGTTGTGCTCTCCCCTCCGTGCCCCCCAATTGCCTGGATCTGCGGGGCTTCTGCCGCTCCGACCCTCTGTGCAGGTGCCCTGTGAGGGTGGGCAGGGTGGGCAGGGATGCGGTACACCAATGTGTCTGGGTCTGGCTTCCCGCCCTTCCTTCTTCCTTCCTGTATGTAGCCCAGGTTGACCCCTACAACATGTGGCCTAAGTTTCCCTCTCAGTTTCCTGAGTACGTTTATTTTATTTTATTATTATTTTTTAATTTAATTTAATTTAATTTTTTGAAACAAGGTCTCATATAGCCCTGAACTCTTTGGATCCTTTTCCCTCTACCTTCTAAATGCCTGGTCAACTTAGTGAGTGCCAGGCCAGCCAGGGTCACAAAGTGAGATCCTGCTTTAAAAAAACAAAACAACCCAACACCCTACATTTATTATTCATTTATTTAGTGAGGTGAAGGAGGTGGGGTAGTCCTGCAACCTCACAGAGTCTGTGTGCACTTGTGGAGGTGGAAGGTCAACTCTCTTCTCCCACTAATAGGTGCTGGGTTAGGGAGGTCTTCAACTTCCTGTTGTTAGGTGACTCCATATCTCAGGCTCTGGAAGCTCTTTTCTTTAACTTTTGCTTCTTTGTTTCTTTTTCTTTTCTTTATTTCTTTTTTTTTTTTTTTCTGTTCGTTGTTTTTGTTTTGATTGTTGTTTTCGTGAGACAAGGTCTCTCTCTACAGTCCTGGCTGTCCTAGAACTCACTACGTAGACCAGGCTGGCCTAAAACTCAGAGCATAGGGCGGGGGGGAGTTTCTGCCTCCCAAGTGCTAGGAGGCCCTGGAATGTAATGGTTTGTATCTGTAGTCCCAGTAATCCTACAGCTGGGAGGCAGACACAGGAGAACTCCCAAAAGCTTCCAAGACAGCCGAGAGCAGGCAGCTGCAGAGAGAAGAAAGACTGTCTCAACAGGGTGGCCGGTGAGAAGTGACCCCAGGGAGTTGTGCTCTCATCCCCAGGAGGCAGAGGCAGGCCGGCCCCTGTGAGTTCAAGGCCAGCCTGATCTACGGAGCATTTCCAGGACAGCCAGGATTATATAGAGAAAGCCTGTCTCGAAATAAACAGAAATAAAACAAGAGCAACAACAAAATTTAAAAAGAAATAAAATTCCAAGCCAGGATTGTAGCTCTCATCTGAACTCTTAGCATTTGGAAGCCAAGGGAGAAAGATCAGGAATTTTAAAAATCCTCATATACATCCTGAATTTGAGGCCAGCAAGGGCTATAAGCCCCTGTCTCAGAAAAACCCAAACATTAGAAAGAAATCACAATCAAGTTCTAACCAAACTCTTGCAGTCACTGAGCCTTGCTTTTCCCCATGAGGCTGAGCACACCCAGCAACTTAACTCTGGCCAGAGTCCCATAAGGTCAGCATTGCTATCCTCACTCAGCAGACACTGCATAGAACCTTAGAAGCCTGAGGCAGGAGGAAATTTAAGACCATCATGAAAACACGGCAAGACTATCTCAAAAGACGAAAATTAAAAGTGGAATGAGAATGTCACTACAAAGCCCGTTATTATGCATAATTAATATATGCTAATAAAAATATGTCAAAACATCACTCAATATCCTGTTACTGTATTCTGGAGAACATTTTCTGCCAGACATTTTCTATCCAGACAACAAAGATAGACACCTTTGTGTCTTGAGTTTTCCAGACATGGCATGTATCTTACTTCATATGTAATTTCCTATGAAGGCAGGGCGGGTATGAGCAAGACGTTTCAAAGTCAGCCCTAACTTAAACCCCAGGTTGAGGGGCTAGAGAGATGTCTCAGGTGTAAAGAAACTTGAGGCTGCTGTGGAGGATCTGAATTCAGTTCCTACATGATGGCCCACAATCATCTATAACTCCAGTCCCAGGGGATCCAACTCCATCTTCTGGCCTCCATGGCACCAGGCACACACAAGCTCTACAGACATACACGCAGGCAAGCACCTATACGCATAAAATAAATGAATCTTTTTTAAAAAGCTTGGGCTTGGAACTCTCAATAATAATACTAACATTGCCAGCCACTTCTTACCAACTTGATGCCACTTTAAATACTTAGTTTTTACTTGTCTAAACCTCACAGGAAGCCTACACATAAGATAATTGCTATTACTATTTTGTATCATCCTCAGTTTGCAGATGAGCAAATCATAGAATAAAGAAGTGAAATAACATGTCCAAGGTTTATTATGTAGAAAGTCTGGTTTCTTTTCTGTTATTCTTCTCTTTTTATTGATAGGATCTTTCTATGTAGGCTTGGCTGACTGGGAACTTCCTATGTAGGCTAGCCTGGCCTCGAACTCACAGAGATCCACCTGCCTCCGCCTCCCAGGTGCTGGGACTAAAGGCGTGTACCCGTCTCAAGTCAGATTTCTAACTTGGCTTCGGAAGACAGGAATGTGACTTAGTCTTCACCTGTTCTGTGCTCCTGATGATTACTGTTCTGGCAGCCATTGCTATCATCTCACACATTCTGAAAAGAGTAAAACACTGGCCCTGCCTTCAAGGAGTTCCTTGAAGTTACTCCCTGAGCAGGAGTAACAGAGAACTAAACAAATAACCCAGCACAAGGCAAAATGTACTTCAAACTGGAGAAATGTATACAGAAGGACACACTCATACTTTTGGCACCTAAAGACAACTGTTACGATAGTTAGGTGGTTTTGTTTGTTTGCTTTAAATATTTACTAATTTTGATATCATATGTGTTTTGTCTGTCTGCATGTATGTATGTATACCATGTACATGCCTGGTACCCTGGGAGCCAGAAAAGGGCATCTGACACTCTGGAACAGGATGGTTGTCAGCCACATGTGGGTGCTAAGAGGCCCTGTCCTCTAGAAAAGCAGCTACTGCTCTCAACTGCTGAGCCATCCATCCCTAGGCCTGGGGGTTACATTTAATTACAGTAATCAGTGTGAAGGACCCTCCACTGTGAATGACACCATTTCCTGGGCTTGGGGTCCGGGACTGTATAAAGAAGGAGAAAGTGAGCTACGTGTCAGCAAGTGTGTATTCTCCTCTCCCTTCTCAGCATCGGGGATATAACTAGCCACTTCACATTTCCGCTGCCGTGGGTTCCTTGTTATGTTGGGCTGTAACCTGAAATTGTGAGCTAAACTAAACCCTTTCTCCCCTATGCTGCTTTGTCAGGGCATTTTATCATAGCAACAGGAGGAGAAGCTAGGAAAACCAGCTTATCTAATGTAGGGTGACTGACTGTTAATAATCACAGTATCTTGGTATGGGCCAGGTGCTATGCTAAAGGCCATATGTGCATTCTCGTGTTTCACCCTCACAAAACTCGGCCTGGTCCTGCTGCGGTCCTCTCTGTTTCACAGTCAAGGAAACTTGAAAGGAGCTGTCTGAGATCATATGGCTAGGGAATGTGGTGCTCACAGTCATGGCGATGGGGCGTGGGGCTGCGGCACTGGGAACTGGATCGTGAGGGGGTGGCACCAAAGGCAGAGAAGGAGCTGGCCTGAAGAGAGGCATGGCCAGCTGGAGGACAGTGAGGGTGAAGTCAAGATCCTCAGTGGGGACCCTGGAAACTTCCTTTCTTCCAGATCACGCCTGATGGACTTCCAGACCCACTGCCATCCTATGGACATCCTCGGGACCTGTGCCACTGAGCAGTCCAGATGTCTGCGGGCATACCTGGGGCTGATTGGTGAGGCTGGGGCATGTGTTGGGAGTCAGCAGGCTGATCAGCTCTGAGGTGGGAAAGTTCGGGACTGAACCCAGGATGGTATTTTGGTCCTGAGGCAGGTGGAAGAAGACAGAGGAATTTGTCTAGACCTTGACAGTCCCTTCCTTCACCCAACAGGGACTGCCATGACTCCAAACTTCATCAGCAAGCTCAACACTAGCGTGGCCTTAGGCTGCACCTGCCGAGGCAGTGGCAACCTGCAGGACGAGTGTGAACAACTGGAAAGGTCCTTCTCCCAGAACCCCTGCCTCAGTGCGTATGCTCCACCGACACCCAGCCCCTGTAGCCGAGGGACGGGAGGAGCCAGCTGTGTAGCCACATGGGTCCTGTCCATCTGTTTAGTCAGAGCACCCCTCTTCCGGGACCAGCCCTATATCCCTCGGCCACTCCTCCCATTCCCAGAATGACCTCCATGCTGCCCGCTCAACTTGTCTAGGCTCCCAGAACTTGAACTAGCAGGCAGAACGAGTCAACATGGCGCACCTCCACTCCTACCCACTTGCCCATTGTATCCCAGGGACCCGTGACATCCCCCTTCTTGCCCTGGGAGTCTGAGAAGCTTCCTGGCACCTTGTTCCAACCTTTTTTCTCCCCTACACAGTGGAGGCCATTGCAGCTAAGATGCGTTTCCACAGACAACTCTTCTCCCAGGACTGGGCGGCCTCTACCTTTTCTGTGACGCCACAGCAGGTAGAACTTTCTCTGTCATATACCTCAAGCTTTTCCTACGCCAGTTGGAGAACATTCAAACCAAGCAGACGAAGGGACAGGCTGGGAGAGGGGCCATGAATTCCAGGGACCTCTAATGCACACGTCAAGGGAAGGCAGCTTAGGTGATAAAGGGGGCTGTCCTCTGGGCTGACGCTATTCCATTTCCTCCACAGAACAATCACCCTGCTCTGAGGCCACAGCCCAGGCTACCTGTTCTTACGTTCTTCATACTTTCCTTGATTCTGCCTCAGACCCTCTGGTAGCTGGGCTTCCCTGGGTCCTTTGTTCTCTCCACCGCACCCGGACGACTTGCAGCCTGTTATGAATGAGAAAATGACAGCCCCTGGAAGAAGATGTCATTGGGCAACCCGGCATCCGTGAACCAAGCAGGCATCCCCCTGCATCTCCTGTGTGCTCCAGAAGAGGTCTTAGTGGAATCAAGGGGCTGTGGCCTTCAGATCCTGAGAGGCTAGTTTTCAAACGTCCCTTACCCCTGCTTCTGGCGCAGGCTGCCTTTCCTTAGGACTATCCGGCTTGGCCTTATATTCTGGTGGGGACTTGCTCCCCACCTCCCAGCCCTTCTTTACCAGGACCACCCAGAGCCTAACACATCAGTCATTCCTGTTGCATTCTCCAGGCAGGAGGGGCTGAGGGTTCTGAGGCAGCACAGCAAGAAGGTCCCTTTGTGAGGAAGGCTGGTGCTCCAGCCCCTCCTCCCCTCGGTGAGGAAGGTGGGAACCTATTGTCTTCACTGCTTTGCCAGGCAACTCTGAACATTTGGGCATGAAGAGCTAAAGCCTTTGGGTCTTGCTTAACGCCTACTACTGTCCCCAAGTCCCCCCGGCCCCTTATGTCATGATTAAACATTTTGACTGAAGACTCTGGTCTTTTCCCATTTTCTTACATTGTAAGTCTTTACACAATTAGTGGTATGTCACAGGCATGAGGGCACCAACAGGGTGATGAAGAGACGCAGCAACACGACTGCTAACTGCTGTGTGACTTCGAGCAAGTCTCTCAGCCTCTCTTGACACAGAGCTGGAAGAAAAATAGCACCCACCCAAGCTCTAGGTGACCCTGAGATCCTGCCTGGCATCTACCAGTGCAGCTGAGGAGGCCCTCGGTCAACCCAGCATCTGTTGGACCCTTGCGTTACTGATCTGTTCCAGATTGTAATAGGCCTAGAAGAAAGCAGAAGCTGAATTTAATCATACTGGAGTAAGGACACATCTACCCATGCAGAGTAGCCGAACAATATTTTTATAGAGATGTATTTGCTCATTCATTCATTCATTCATTCATTTCCTCACTCACTCACTCACTCACTCACTCACTCACTCACTCACTCACTCACTCTTTCAAAGGGTATTGAATCAGTCCTGACTCTGTAGGACACTGTGCTGGATGGAAAAGGTTCTGAGGTAGCAAGACTCAGACTCTATTTTCAAACCTCTCACATACCGGAGTAGGGACACAGATAAGACAGTCAAGAAAAAAACAACAGTGTGATAAATGCAGAAAAAAATTATAACACCGACTTTCATTTATTGAGCTTATACTGTATGGCAAATACTATTTAATGCATATTGTTTTTAAGAACTCCCTCTATAGGAGTTACAGATGGTTATAGCTACCAGATAGGTGCTGGGAACCAAACCCAGGTCCTCTGCAAGAGCAACAAGTGCTATTAATTGATGAGCCAATCTCCTGGAACCACTGTGTTATAGTTAAATGTGAAATGTCCACTCTATAAGCCTATAGCCATGCTAGCTTGTATGTGCTTAATCTCGGAAATGTCCCCTCATAACTCATATACTTTTTGTTTTGTTCTGTTTGGCTTTTTTTTTTTTTTTTGTGACAGTGTTTCTCTGTATAACCTTGGCTGTCTGAAAACTCCATCTGTAGACCAAGCTGACCTCAAACTCAGAGATGCCTCTGCCTCTGCCTGCTGAGAGCTGGGACCAAAGGCATGCACCACCAGGCCTGGCTTTGTTAGTGTTTGAGACATGATCTTGGTGGTTTAGACGAGAATGGTCCTATAGTCGCATATATTTGAATGCTAAGTCCCAGTTGGTGGAACTGTTTGAGAAGGATTGGGAGGTGTGTCTCTGGGGCTGAGTTTTGAGCTTTCGATAGCCCACTCCATTCCCAGTTAGCTATCTCCTGCTTGTGGATCAGATGTCAGCTCTCAGTTTCTGCTCCAGTGCTGCCTGCCAGCCACGGCCACACTCCATGCCAGGGTAGTCACAGACTTGCTCTCTGAAACTGTAAGCAAACCTTACAGCAAGTGAACTCTTTCTTCTATAAGTTGCCTTCGTCATGGTGTCCCAAGTGAGACATGCCCAGGAGCTCTAAACTCACAACACAGTTGAGGATGACTTTGGAATCTTAATCTAACTTAAGTGCTAGGGTGTTGGCATACGCCACCATGTGCAGCAGTTTTTGCTTTATTTTGCGCAAGATGGACTCTCACACTGTGGCCCAGGCTCATCTGAAGCTCCCTGTGTAACCCATCGAAGTCCGAGCAGTCCTCCTGTGTCCTGCCCCCTCTCCTCTCTGTTCCCCTCCCTCTTCCTCTTCCCCTTTCCCACCAGTGTTCAATCATGGAGGCACCCTTATTGAGCTTGTCCCAGCACCTTTTAAAAGCCCCACCTCTAACTACTAAAGTTGGATTGTTTCCGCTATTGTTGTTTGGTGGGGGTCAGGTGATGAGACAGAGTCTCGGTGTGCAGCCCCGTCTGTCCCAAAGCTCATTGTATAGACCAGGCTGGCCTCAGGCTCACAGAGATCCTCTTGCCTCTGCCTTCCAAATTCTGGGGTTTGTGTGCACCAAATCCTATAGTTTCTGAGTTCCTCACAGTAGAGATTAAACTCCAACAAAACTTTCTGTGGAGACAAATCAGATACAAATCGGAGCCCTTCCTGTTGTTCTCTGATATAAGGTTGTGGGGTGTGTGTGTGTGTGTGTGTGTGTGTGTGTGTGTGTGTGTGAGAGAGAGAGAGATGCTGAAGATTGAATTTAGGGCCTCACACATGCTAAGTAAGTCCTCTACCACTGAGGCATATCCCATTGTTTTTGTTGTTTGTTTCTACTTAAAAATATTTTATTTTGTGTGTATGAGTGTTTTGCCTACATGTATGTACATGTATCTCGTGCATGCCTGGTGTGCCCACTGAGGTTGAAGAGATCATCAGAGTCCCTGGAACTAGAGTTTCAAGCAGTTGTGAACCACCAAGTGGGGGAATGAAAGCCCAGTTCTCTGAAGAGCAGATGGCCCAGTGAGTAAAGGCGCTCCTAGCAAACCTGATGATCTGAGGTCTGATCCCTAGGGCTTCCACAGTAGAACCAACTCCTGTAAGTTATGATCTGAATGGATGTGTGTGTTCCTACACACACACACACACACACACACACACACACACACACACACACTCACTCACACACACACCAGCCAATGCCAGAGCAGTGGGTAGAACAGGCAAGCCTCTCCTTGCATATTCCTGTGCCCTCACAGCCTGCCCAGCCCAGAAAATGCTCAGCCAAGCTGCCTCCCTGCAAACTCCAGTGGGGGCACAGGGTCCACCCACCTTCCTTTTTCCTCTCCTCCCAGGGAGAGTTCTGAGCAGTCAAGGCTCTCCATTTGCCTTGGCTCCATTAGCCTGGGCCTGAGGGTGTGAATGGTACAGTCATTCCTTGCTAAGTGCTTATATTAGACTAATAGGTCATCTGTGCTTTTCTCTGAAGAAGGTCCAAATTCCTGGTAAACAACCAGACACTCTCCCAGCCCACAGCCCAGAGCCAAGATCATGTGGAGGCACACTGGCTGGGTAGAAGCTCTTAATGCTGTCGTGGCTAGCTGGGATGGGTAATGCCATTTGACTAGTTTCTGTGTGGCACAATGTGAAGGGCTCCTGGTAGCAGGGCCGAATGCTGAGTGACAGTCTTGAGGCAGCAGACTTGGTGTTTGTTTGTTTGTTGTCTGGTTTTGTTTTGTTTTGTTTTGTTTTGTTTTGTTTTGAGACAGGGTCATCCTATGTAGCCCTGGCTGGCCTTGAATTTACAGAGATCCACCTGCCTCTGCCTCTGGAGTGCCAGGATAAAAGGTATGTGCCACCATGCCTGGCTTCCATCTCATTTTTGAGATGGGGTCTCTTACTGAACCTAGAGATCACTGACTCACCGAGACTAGCTGGGCAAGCTTCAGGGATCCGCCTGTCTCCACCCACCGATGGCTAGATGCCGCCATGCCTAGCTTTTTTTTTAGATGTGGATGCTGGGAATCCGAATCCAGGTCCCTACGCTTGTGGGGTGAGGACTTCACCAATCCATCCAAATCCCCAGCACCCCAACTTGGTTGTTTTGAAGGCTGGGAGTTATTACGATGCCTCATACAGGATGAGCCCTGAATGAAGACAGGCACTGTTATCATTGCTGCTGGGAGAGACACCTGCGGGCACCATGAACTCTGTTCTATGTCCCGGAAGGCGATGCAGGCGACTCTCCCACCAACTGTGCTCAGATTCTGGGTGGAGCTGCCTTAGGACATTTTTTTCAAGATCTGAGCTCCAGGGTGGAAACCCGAATCCTGAATCTGCAGCTCAGATCCCAAGGGACCCTGAATGAGTTTCGAAAGCAAAGAAAGCCAGCATCTTTTTTGTTGGTTTGTTTTTTCGAGACGCGGTTTCTCTATGTACTCTTGGCTGACCTGGACTCATTTTGTAGACCAGGCTGGCCTTAAATCACAGAGGTCTGCCTGCCTCTGCCTCCAGAATGCTGGGATTACAGGTGTGTGCTACCATGCCTGGCACATGAAAGTCAGCATATTTGTCAATAGTCTTTTAACTGCAAGTAACAGAATTACTTGATTTTGCTTTGAACAAGGGTATCTAGCTAGCCGTTATGCAATGCCAGGAAGTTCAGTAGGCCTTAGGGAAGCCGGACTGGTGAGTCAGGGGCCAGGAACATCTTCAACTGTCTACTATTTTCTGCAAACTGACTCTCTGTACATAAGGGAATCTGGATTGATTTTTCTGGACAGGGCCACTACTAGGCTCAGGAAACAGAGATCACTGCAGGCTTGCTAGATTTCTGGTCTTGGCTGTTGCAGAGAGGGGCAAAGTGAATGTGCTACACACAAAATGTTTATTTTTGCACTGAGCTGAAGACAACTGAGAAGCAACAGAAATGGGAAGAGTTTTCTCTCCTTTATTTCCTGAGAGCAAGGCATAAATTTTCACCTAATGATGGTGGCAGAGTGAGAAAAATGTCTTTCTTTCTCCCTGAGGGTTTTGAAACAAGGTCTCGTGTAGACCAGCCTGTTCTCAGCTTGCTATGTAGTGGAGGATAACCTTGAACTCCAATTCTTCTGCTTCCACCTCCCAAGTCCTGGGTTATAGGTGTGTGTTACCAGGCTCAGGTAGCTTACTTGCTTGCCTTTCTCCTTTCCTTCCTTCCTCCTTTTTCTTCTTCTTTCATGTAGACAGTGTTTCCCCATGTTACCTGTTAGTGTCCGAGAATCACTGAAGAGAGACCCCAGACTCAAGTGGTATGCAAAAGCAAGGAGCATTTATTCTGCAGAAAATTTCCAGCATGCTGGGGCCACCACTTCTTAGAATGGGACCATACAGTAAGCACACCAGCTCAATTTAAAGACGAAAGGGGTGATGGTGGTGGTTAGGATTAGCTAAACATTTAGGAACTTTCCAGAGTTGCCAACGACTTTTCCTCAGATTTTCTGAATCATAATACTTAGCTCAAGCCCATGTGTTAACCTTCAAGCTGATTGGCTG